AAAAAAAAAAAAAAAAAAAAAAAAAACTTTTCATACCCTCTAGTGAGATATAAATTAAATCTGAACTCCTAATCATAAATGGCATTAGATCGGTGCGAGAGACATCGAGGGCAATATCCTAATCCTAATTAGCAACAAATTCCTAATCAATCTTATATAGGATACATAGCATTCTTATTCCACAGAGGAATAAATAAAATCAGTAGCAATAAACCCGATAGATTCTAACCAAACACAAGAAATTGAAAGAGTGAAAGTAAAAATGGAACCGTGTAAATGAGGATTCAGGAGACACCCTTGGCGTTGTTGAAGAACGCAGCGGCACAGAGAATGGAAGCGATGAGGGCAATGAAGCCCAAGCCAATGATCAAGGAAAGCCCAGCAACGAGGAAGTCCAATAGGCCCAATCCCACCACCACCACAATCGCCATCTTCGTGTTAGGCTCAGATTAGGAGGGAGAGGACCGAGCAAGAATGTAAGAACCAGAAGAGAACGTTCATGTCTCCGAACGGTTTTGACAGAACACAAGACATCGCTGTTATTGATTGTAGTTGTTGGTCCACACCTATCTCAATGTTTTTTCTTTTCTTTTTCTTTGCTCCTATCACCGATTGCCCAAAGATTTTTGCAAAATTGCCTGAATCTGATTCCTGAACGGGAATTCACTTGTCAAAATTACACGAGGTCAATGAACAAAATAAATAAATGAATTCTAATTTGAGTAATTTTTCTTTCTTTTTGATTAAGTTAATTTGAGTAATTCTCCTTAAGAGAACTAAATTAATCCGTACATATCGATTAAGAAATCAATAAATAAAAAAATAAAATTATTAAAAATTATAATAGAATTGCATTGGAAATCCAGAAGTCAGAAGAATATATTGTTACAATTCTTAAGAAAAAGTACTTTTTATATTTGATTTTTTAACTAGTGAATTTTTAGGATATTATACTTAAAGTAAGAAGAAATGTTCATCTATTTAATGTTTCTCAAATTCTGAGAGAGATTTGTTCAGAAGGATCAAAATTTATATTGTGATCGAGTTTGAGTTTATATTTTGATACTCTTAGACTCTTATGCTCGCTCTCGATAGGCTACGATCATGAATTAGCATTGACCTTACATCCACCAACACTTGATAGACAGAATTCTTGATGCGATGCCGTATCAAAGAGATATGTATTAATTTATTATATATATATAATTATGATACTAATACTAATTATTTATCGTAAAAGATAGTGACTAATTTTTATTAAAAATTATAAGTGTGTAAAAAAATATTCTTCTTTTAATATAATCTATTTTATAAGATATCTCGATTAGGAGTCACAAATTGTTACCCAAGTAGTGTTATCACAAATAGTGTAGTATTGGTTAAAAATATAGTTGGAGACCAAAAGGGTATCAGATTTATAAAATGGATGTGATTCATGAACTCCTATTAGTTACTATCTTACATAATCATGATTCCTTTAAATTGCTTTATATATGTAAATCCTACAAAATAGGATGACAAGTTTTATATTCCCTCCAACAATTAAAAGATTTATTTCTAACATCCACCGTCAGAATTGGACACTGAATCACTTTCTGAATGCGCCAAAAATTTTCCTTCTGCATGCATGTTTAGTACTTAACCTTCGTAGAGGCCACCACGCAAGTCAATCCAATTAAATTTTGATCAATTCCAATGCCATTTGTACAAGTATACATGTGGATTTCTGGTTCTCCATGGTTGGTTTTCCTTAATGCTTGGACATTAATTAAGCAAAAGAAGGATTCTAAAATCTGAATTGGACTGTACAAATTTCCTTTTTATGAGCTCATTGGTCCTAAACCTGAGTAACCAAATTTCAACACTGTCATTACTAAAAGGCAAAAGATAAATGTTAGGGACACTTTTGCTAATACTCTTGAAAAAATCACAAAATTTGATGGATTATAGTATTAAATCAAGTGAAACTCATTAAATGAAATATGAGTCATGCAAAATTTGTGATTTTCAATAAATTTCAACTAATAATACCAAAGAAAATGTTAGAGAGAATGTCTTTTAATTCTTCAGGGCAAAAATATAGTAGGAGAGCAAGAGAAACTAGACATAATGAAATGATTGAGATGACCTTTCATAGCAAGATTTTTTTACCTGGGGTAGCCATAGGTTTTCTTCTTGGTATTGGCTCTAGTTCCTTGCGCTCAATCACAACAGCATTTGATGTTAGAAATGCTTTGGCCACAGAAGCAGCATGTTCTATGCAACATCTAACAACCTGCAGCATTTTCAAGATAATAGAATTGGACATCGTGTGCAAACCTTAATGCACCACCTGCACTGGAAAACTGACATATGCAACTTCATACTTTATCAACTCAAATTCCCGTTTTTATTCCTTTTTGGCTTTTATTAAAGAAAAATCACTGTTACAATTATCAACTAAAAGGTAAAAAGAATATAATATATATACGTATTTTGCTACTATTTTTGTGATTACTTACTAAATTGAAAGGACAAAACTTACATGCAGTTTATTGTGCAATTAGAAAATAAAGTTTAACCTTGGTAGTCTATATTAGTATGTTAGCCTTTAATACAAACTTTTATTAGGTAGATCACAGAGGTGAAATATCTATTCTAATTGGGAATACAAAAACACTTAAAGAACTGCATTTAAGTTTTATTCAATTGAAAATCTTAAGATCTCTAGGGCCCGAAGAAATCAACAGCATCAGATGTTTATTTTGGCACACAGTTTTTGGATATTTAGTAATATGATATTAGTAAGTGCTCACTGAGAATAACTAGTTTGGGAAAATTTACTTAGTATTTTCCCTTATGCAAGAGGCCATACCTTTGTTGGATCCATGATCCCAGCCTTCATGAGATCCTCATAATAGTCTCTAGCAGCATTGTAACCAAAATTCATGTTATCCTCCGATAAAACCTGCATGACATAAGGGGCCTCAAGCATGCTTTTTAATTCAATATATGTTGTTGAGTTGAATTAACTACACTCTACAGAAGATCCAAATATAATTCTGGTGATCTATCTCTTAAAGAAACAGTTTCTCAACAGGCTCAAGACCTTTTCTATGACGACATTGCCATTTACACCAGCATTCTTCGCTATCAATCTTGTGGGGTAGCTCAATGCTCTTCTGAAGATTTCAGCTCCAATCTGCAGATAAAATTTTCATATCTTGAACAATCAATAAAAAGGAACACACGAAATGAATGCTTGCAATGGATTATTAAAACAACTAACAAGAACTTAAAAATTATGAACTTCAAACATGATGAATGAAAACTTAATTTGGAACAACAGAAAATTACCCTTTGTTCTTCATTGTCCAGGAGTTTTTTTATGTCATCCATTTTCTTGGATAGTCTTAAAAGGCTACAGCCACCACCAACTACTACACCTTCCTCAATGGCTGCCTGCCATGTTCTAAGTAAGAAGCTTAGCCATATAACTAAATCAAATCACCTTGTTGAGGCAAGAGAAATAAATACCTTGGTTGCATTTAGAGCATCTTCTATTCTTAACTGTTTATCCTTCAACTCTATTTGTGTCTGTGCTCCTACCTATGATTTAGATTTCAGTTGCTGAAAGGTAAATGAACTATATCTTAAATGGAAACAGATGTCCTATATTCCAGATTGTCACAAGACAAAATAAAATGAAATTCATATTACCTGAAGAATGGCAATGCCCCCAGATAATCTTGCTATTCTTTCATTCAATATCTTCTTTTGGAAATTTTCTACAGTATTCTGCAAAATATGAAATACAATGTGTGGGTAATCCGAGGATATGTTAACCATGCATCATGTTACTTTTGGAACTTAAAACTGGTCAAGTGTGAGAGATGATGATTTTTCAAAGTTCCATACGTACCTCAACAAGCCTCTTAAGTTGATAAACCCTCTTCTCAACAGCTTCTCGAGTACTCCCATCCGTAACTATTAAGGTAGAATTCTTTGTTATGACAACCTTAGTAGCAGAACCCAGAACATCCTTGTTAGCCTTTTCTAGGGTGAAACCCATATCTTCTCTGATTACAGTACCTGAAAACCACACGAGTGCAAAGAATCCAAGGGTGTAAAGATTATAGAGGATGAACTAAAGCTTGAAGACTATATATAGAAACTATTGCTGTTTTCTTCCACTTAGCATTTTAACATTGAAGCAAATGAAGGTTAATGCTTCAGTAATATGTATTTTTTTCAAGTGGTTAACAGATAATTTTCATGCTATCTGTTGTGCACTGAGGTGAGGGTTCACACACGTCTCCTCCATATTACCAACAAAACTCTCTCTACACACAGACTACCATTAGAAAAACTATCACTTATTGCGCACTTGAAATTCACACACGTATGATTTCACATTGGTGTCATATGGTCTACTTTGAACTTAAACCTTCATGGAATTATTTTTAATCATCACCCAAAAAGTCTTATACTAATAGAGGCTTTGTATAGAGGCTTTGTATGTGCTTATAAATAAATCCATGATTATCCTGTGGGACTTTGTTTGTATCCAACACTATTTTTGTCATTGAGGAAAAACAGGCATCAACTAATTAATTAAACTGACATTAGTGAGCCATATACTTAAGGTACAAGTCATTCACGTACATGTTCTTAGCAACTGCAGTCATTTACTTCTTATAGAACTTTTTCTTTCTAATTGCCTAAAACATATCAGCAAACAAAATATAATTGAGCTTCTAAATTTAAGTGTTTGATCTTCTACCTCCAGTCAAGATGGCAATATCTTCCAAGCAGTGGCTCTTGCGTTCACCAAAGGCAGGAGCCTTAATGGCAGCTACCTTAAGTGCGCCCCGAAGTTTATTTCTAATGACCGGAGCTAGAGCTTCTTGATCAATACCCTCTGCAACTATCACAACTGGATACTTTTCTTTTGCAGAATTGTTCAATATGTTGATCAACTCGTTTTGGTTTGTGATTTTCTTGTCTACCAAAAGCAACTGCAACCAAAGAATTATGCATATTTAATAGAACTCAACCATGGCTTTCATATGCATGACGTGTTTTGCTAAACAATTAAACTAAGAATCACTTTGGATAAATTTCACTAAAAGCACTTATAGAAGAAAAAAATAGGAAACAAAAATTAAATAAATTTCTCCATAAACTAAAAATAAGATTTTAGAGACGCTAATAAGAGAGAATTTTACAAATTAGCTTATACATAAATTAATTTTATCTTATGAAAAAAATTATTTCTTTTTTTCTTTCAATTTTTCTCTCCTACAAGTGTTTTTAGATAAGTATAGTCAAACAGATCCTAAGTGCTTATCTATTAAGCTTATCACAAAAAAGCTAATATCATGAGCTCAACCATGAAGCTTGTTGAATCAAGCTTAAACAACTTATAGAAAGGTCATAATCATAAGCCAATTTTATAAACTCAAATAAAATCCGTATAAGTTCTTCCAAAGTCCAAATGCCCCTAGTTATGATACCTTGCAGTTGTGGAATTCAACTGTCATCTTTCTTCGATTGTTGACAAAGTATGGAGACAGATATCCGCGATCAAATTGCATACCTTCCACGATCTCCAGGCTATTTTCAGTACTCTTTCCACTTTCAATTGTCACTACTCCCATTCTTCCTACTTTATGCAGAGCCTCAGAAATCATGTTTCCAACTGTATAATCATTCCCAGCACTGACTGCAGCAACATCTGCCAGTTCATGATCTTCAACCTACAAGTGTAACCAATGTTGTTCATTCCAATTACAAGTGCCACTTATTACGATTCTCAATTTTTTCAATCATCCAAGTGGTTTAAAAAAGACAAAAATAAAAAATAAAAAATAGAAAATGAAGAGTTTACCTCTCTAGACATCAATCTGAGTTCTGAAACAAGTGCTGTTGCTGTTTTCTCAATCCCTCGAGTAATTTGAACAGGATTCATTCCAGCTGCAATAACCTACAAAGGAGAAACAAAAGAGGGAGTGAAGAGCGCAAAATTAATAACACCCTTTTTAAAGTTATTGGCATGGTGACAAGCATAAACTGAAGCTAATGCTTTTACAATTTCATCTGCAAATTTGAAATACATAAATAAATTTAATACCTTGTTGTATAGATTCAAATCAACGAATATAATATTTTTAAGAATATCTATCAATTTGAATTAATGAAATGAAATATCATATATTCAAAAAATTTTAAAATTTATACACGTAATTTATACATTAAAAAATTTTAATTTAATGGTTAGATAGTTTAAATTTGATGTAAAATACAAATTATTGAGTAAAATTAGTGTATGTATATATATATATATATATATATATATAAAGATATACAAAGAGGGATCCGTTTATTCTAGGAATAAGTCTATCTAGACTTACTATGTTCAATAACTCATGTTCTATATCAAATATTAACGATTCAACTGTTGAATTTAAAGTTTTTACTGCATAGATCAAGTCTGCAAATTTTTAGAAAATTTGAAAATTATTTGATACTTCATTTCATTAATTTAGAACATGAGTTATTGAACGAAATAAGTTTAGGTAGACTTATTCTTAGAATAAATGGATCCCTCCTCTATATATATATATAATCAATTTTTCATTTAAAACTTCATTTATGCTAACATACAACCATTTTATTCTGATTGATGTAGATAAGATAGTCATGTTCAGCTTGTTATGTGTACCTTTGTCCCCTCTGTGATTAAGCCGTGAGCAAGAACAACAGATGTAGTTGAGCCATCACCTGCTAGATCATTGGTTTTAGCACCAGCTTGTCTCACCAATTTAACTCCGACATTTTCCAATGGATCCTCCAATTCAATCTGAAATAACAATAGAAAAAAAGAAGTTGATACATAAAAAAGGCACAAAACCATGTTATTAACCCGGTTACAGAGAAGTTTATTAAACTAAACTACTCGAGCAACAGGACAAGTGTTTAAATATTGAAAAATCTCCTCCAAATTTGAAGAATAAAAATAGAAGTAAACTTCTGACTTATCCATCCCTAGTAAAACCTTACATATAGCGTGTTACAAATCAATTACTCTTTAGCTCCCTATAGTTCCATCAACTTTATTTTTAGTCTCAATAATTAAAAATACTTCATTTTAGTACTTATACATATCATTCTTATTTTTTTTAGTATGTAATTTCATAACTTTTACCTTTTACTCCCTATAAAAATATATACAATAGGGATTAAAAGAAAATAAGTGGGACATTTTAACTTTAAAAACTGAAAGATAAAATTATAAAATTATACTATAAAAAGGTTAGCTAAACCAAATATGAACATCAATGAAAGTGAAGAAGCAAATGGTTGATGATGAAGGACCAAAAACACAAAAGACCTCTTTGAGAACAGTTTCTCCATCATTTACAATCTTGGGTGGTCCATACTTATTTGGCAGCACAACATTTCTCCCCTTTGGACCCAATGTCACACCAAGCAGCTCAGCCACCATGTCCACCCCTGCCTGCACCAAACACCAACTCACTCACATGACATCTTGTGAAGAACCAAAAGTCCAAAAGCAAATTATTAAATTTCATCTTAAAACCATTTGTTAAGTAAAGTTGCCCATCACATATATAATTATATAAATTGCACTTCAAGAATTAATGCAGACGATGTGGGGCCTTCCAACACAAATTGTGGATGTCAATCGTTCAACAAGCAGGATTCAGAATCCTTACCAACATCTTCTTTGTGGCTGAACCATCATGATTAAAGTAAAGCTCTTTGGCCATGGCTCTCGGGTTTAGAGAAGAAGAAAGTGAATTTCGGAGTCTGGGAAGTGATGATGGATTGCCAAATGTGAATGAAGATATAGGGGATGGAGAGCATGCCATGGCTGAGTTTCTTTCGATGGCTGTGTTGGTTTGGACTTTGGAGTAACTCAAAACTATTATTTAGCTTTGCGTTGAGTACTGAGTGGTGCAACAAGTTGAACTTGAACAATGATAACTTGAACAAAGGTTTTGATTTTGAACAACGTTAGTGGATAAGAGTAATGGTGTAAAGGACAGAAATATCTCTGCGCTCGTGTATTTGCTTAGCAAAATGAAAAGCAAAATATCTTGCAACTAATTTTGGCGCTATGCAAACCAAGAACCACAATTTCTACTTCGTTGCCTTCTTTTAATTTTTTTGTTTAGTTCATTTTCTTGTTCTCTTTACTTTCTGTTTATTTATCTAAGTTACTCATTACATGTAAAATAAATAATTGTTAAGTGCATATATTGAGATAAAAATATGATAAAAAATCATATTCAAATAATAAAATCACATATTTAATGTAATAGTAATATAAAATTAAAAAATTTATTTTTAATGTTTTTGGTAAATTTATGTGTTATATTATTAAATGATATAGTTGAAGTATATCATTAGAATATAAGATTTTTTTATAAGGTATTATAAGAGGATGTTAATCAAATTAAAATTTATAATAAATAATTTAGTAATAAATAATCAATTTAGATAATTGTGTCAAAATAAAATATAATAATTATATTAGAATTTAAATTGATTAATTTATAATATTTATAAATTTTAATTTATATGTGATAATGTTGGTATAATTTGTTATAATTTAAAATTTTAAAATTAATTTTTATATATTAATAATTAATTTGTAATTAAGGGATTTAATTCGATTGATATGTTAATTATTTGAAAATTAACTCAACAAATGTTATTACGTTCTATACTTGATTAGGAAGTTCTATGCTTGATTTAAAAAAATAACTCTTTAATTAAAATAGCAATAATTTAATTTAATTAGATGTATATTTATCATACAGACAAAATTAAAGTTTTGTATAAGCATTTAATTAACAAAAAATAATTTAAACAATCAAGTCATAATAAAACGTAATAATTGTATTAGATTTTTTATTGAGTATCTAATACTTTAAAATTTAATAATTATTGTGAAATTAAAGTATAATAAATATTTAATTAACAAAAATTAATTTAGATAATTATGTCATAGACTACAAGAAAAGTGCAAAATAGCGACCGAAATGTATCAGTTGGTATCTTGCGACCGATTTAGTGACCGATTACTAATACAACCATCAACGACCGATTTAGCGACCAAAATAGGTAGTTGCTAGAAAATCCGTCTCTAAATCTGTCGCTGTTTGATTCTGTTTCATGAACCCATAGTTTGCGACCACTTTACTACTAAATTGTAAAAAACTTGTGATCGAATTTGAATCGGTCGCTATACAAGAAATTTTATTGTTAAATAGAGATCGATTATATTTCGGTAGCTAATAAACACAAAGCAACCCATTCATAACGACCAAATACAATTTGGTTGCAAAATATTATTTAAACTTAGCGACCGAATTGCTAAAGATAAATTTAAAAAATTATATAATATAAATTGGTTAAAAATGATGATAATATTGTTGGTGAGTATCAATCCAATTTTTTTTTTGGTAAAACCAAGACGACATTAAACCATTAATCGATGATTTTCTTAATTTATAATAAAAAATATTTATATGCACTCCTACTTATTAATTAATACCAATAGTTATCTTGCACAATAAATTTCGGAGGTTTCTTTTTTACGATTGCAATTTTAGTCATTTATTTTAATTAGAGTATATGAATTCTTTAACTTTATTATTTGTTTCAATCCATATTTATAATATATATTTCTAAATTAAATTTAATCATTTTTACATAAATTATCAAAAATTATAATTAAGTTTATGTCGCAATTTAATTTTAATGATAGTTAATGATCTACATTGTATTTCAAAAGTCCAACCATTAATTAAAGACGCTTAATGCATTTATTTATATATATATAT